TCAGCAGGATGACAAAGTCCCCTGCGGGAGAAGAGGACGGGGAGGATGAGGAGGGGGAGGGGGCTCACTGGGTGGGCAGCAGCACTGGGACGGCACCGAGGTGCTCATATTCAGTGCCTGCTTTTGCATGGGGTCAAGTGTGGGCTCCCCACGGCCGCTGGCGCCGAGTGCTGACCGCAGCAGCTGCCTGCCAGCTCCCGGCCCTGCCCGCGCATAAATTCGGACATTCAAACCCAAACCGCTGCCTGCCTCCCCCCTCCCAAACCAACGAGGTGGTGGTTTTTTTTTTCCTTCAGATGTCTCCATCTAAATTTAAATCTCAGACATCATATTACCTCGTTATTTTTAGAGCTGTGATTACTCAGTGTAGTTTACAGTCTTGCCTTGCCCTCCATCATTACTCTGTTTATTCCACCCCACATTTGCCTTTCTCTCGAGAAACAACGGGTAGGACCAGGAAAGCGGCAGGGTTAGCTTTAAAGAGGGGCGGATCTGAGAGCCCTCGCAGCACCTTTCCCCGAGGACTCACATACCCAGCTCGTGCGGGAACTCCTCGCAGAGGATGGCCACGGAGGTGCTGATCCCTTGGAAGACGGAGACGGTGAAGGAGGCCCCGATGGCCAACCCGTCGATGAAGTTGTGGAGGCCGTCGCTGAGGGTGATCATCCACGCCAGCGTGCCGATGTCGGAGTACCGCACCTCCTTCAGCCAGTAACAGGCGCTCTGGGAGGCCTGCAGGTCCTGCCACGGCACCCCGACGGCGGGGCCCCAGCACCCAGCCGGTCGGGGTTGGGGGGGAGTCACCGTTCCCTCCACCAGCCAGGGGAACCCACCCCTCAGTGCATTAAATCCACACAAGGCTTGACCCAAGCAGTTTGCTTTCCACCACCCACGGAGGATTTTGTCAGGAAGGTGCAAGGGGCTTCAAAACGGCTCTTCTTCATTGACAGGCAGGTTGTTTTTTTTTTCCACGCGCCCACCCGCAACCCCACGGGAGGAGGCACTAACCTGGACAGAGAGGGAGCCCACCACAACCTTCTCATCCCCGGAGGGGGTCTTGCACTCCAGCTCGCTGGTTATGTGTGGGATCATGTGGTCCAGGTCCCCATTCTGCAGCTTCTCGGTGACCCCCTCCTCCTGGTCCTTCTTGGACGGCAGAGCCTCAGGGCCGTAGTGGCTGTGCCCGTGGTGATGCTGAGGGACAGGGGGGATTCACGGGTGTCAGCCGCCCTCGCCATTTCTGCCGTTTCCCACCCGAGCAGCGCTCCGAGCAGCCCCTGCTCAGCCTCACCTGGTCCTTCTGCTTCAGGAGCATCTTCAGGACCTTCTCCGTGAAGAAGAAGAGGTAGAAGCCCCCGAACACCACGGCGGATTTGGAAATGTAATAAGCTTCTTGAGGGTTGAATCCAAACGCCTGCAGGCAAAAGGGGACAAGTGATAGGACTGAGGAACAGTCTGCAACAGCATCCTTCATCTGCCTTTGCCCCTGGCACCTCTGGGGCCACACTGACACTTTCTGACCTCTCTCTAAGCAGCAGCTGCTTTGGGGGCAAGCTCAGAAAACGCCTTCGTGCACCTGTAATCTCCCTCACTCCCCCAGCCAAGCCGGCTGTGCCCCAAGGCATTGGATCCACCACCCTGCACCAGGGCAGGGATGCTAAAAGCAGGCTTAGAAAGCCTTCGCTGTCTCGGCACAAAGGCAACCTGCCTGCAGGGCTAGAAAGGGCAATAAAATAGCGCTTCTCTGCTCGAAGCAGACCAGAGGTCTCCCTGGAGCGATTCTCTTCCAGAGAGGGGCGAAACGCCAGCTCCGACTGCGATCCCAAGGGGCTTCCAGCCTCCGTACCTCGCTCTCGGCTCCCCTCCGACGCCGCCTTCCCCTTCTCCAGCCAGCGAGCGCCCAGAGAGAGAGAAACAGCCCCCGAGAGAGAGAAAAGGACAGACCCGACGGTCCTCACCCTACCTCGGGAATGAGCTGGAAGAGGGCGTTGGAGTAGAGAGTTCCAATCGCCAGAGCTATGAAGTAGAGGAGCAGCCGCTTGTAAAAGGTCTTCTTCATGAAGGGCACCACGCTGGCTCCCACCAGCGAGCAGAGGGAGATGACGGTCACGCAGAGGAAACCGTAACCCCAGACTGCGGCGTGCGTGCCAAACCCACCCCGGGGAATCGGACGAGGGGAGGTTGTCGGAGGGAAAGGAGATCAACGTGGGGAAGGGGAGGGAGGGGAAGGAATCCATGCCGAAATGAAAGAGAGAGGAGGGAGGAAGAAGGGGGGGGAGAGAAGAGGACATTCATTAGTGATTGCTTGTTCATCTGGCATTGGTTCAAGAGGGGTGAACCTGGTGCTGAGTGGCTCTGGAAACAGCTCTTTGGGAAGGGTCGGAGGGAAACCCCGCTGCGGAGCTCGCACCAAACGACCGGGAGAGGAGCCCTCCCTTGGAGCAAGCAGCTCTCTTTTAGCACCGGGATGAAGCTGAGTTTTGGCAGCCAGGCTGTTTCAGAGCCAGCACCCCGGCTCTGCTCCCCGAGCCCCCGTGGGACGTCGGGCAGCCGTTCCAGGGCCACAGAGCGCCGAGGTCCCCCGAGCACCTCGTACGCTCCATCCTCGTCCTGCAGCCCAGAGAGATGCGGCCGGTCCCCGCGAGCCGGCTGGGACTGGGATGCTCCGACTGACGGTGAGGGTGGAGCGTACGTAAGTCATTTCAGTTCCTGGCAGATCAGGAAATACAGGCGCTTGGTTTTTATGTTCGGCAAATAAAAGTTGCGGTTCTGGAGTTGAAAAGGAGCCTTGATAAAACATCCCCCTGCCAACACGGATGCGGCGTTTGCTGCCCGAGAGCAAAGCAGACAACGCCGGGGGGCAAAACCCGGCGGCAGCAAAGGGTGCTCTGCTCAGAGGGAAGGTTGCACCTTAAATGCAGAGTTTTAAGGCTGGATGTGCAGGAGCTCAGACCCAGCTCGTCTCCTCCCCAGGAGACGGGGAAGGGCTTTGTGAAGCCGCCTGGACAAAGGGGCCGAGGAAACACGCACGTTTCAAAGGTGTCCAATCTGAGAGCGTGCGGGTGTATTTATTCAACTCCAGAACTGTGCAATTACAACACAATTAATTTGCGATGTATCTGTCGGGCCCATCAGAGCACCAGGAAACCTCACGTAAGCATAAATCCTTGTGGGAACATCGGTCTCGTAAATCAGAGAGGGGGGAAAAAAGGCAATTAAAACATTTGTAAAAGCTGGCTGACTGGGGAGGAAGCTGGTGCTTGTCTGGGCTCTTCTCTGTGGTTTTACACCGATATTTCCTCTGCCTCACAGGTCTTTCCATCCGGCTCACGCCACGAGCACTGCCGCGTCTCAGCGGCCTCAGAGCCGGGCAGCTCTGCATGAAGCGGGGCTGAGCACATCCCTCTGAGGGAGAAACTCCCTTGCGAAGCAGACACAGCCCATGGGACAGGAGCAAACGGCTTCTCCCAGCACCTTCCTGGACCTCAGACCTGGCCAGCAGCCTTGCAAGGACTGGCAGGGCTGGAGGGCACAGCCTCCCCACGCTGCCTGCACACTCGAGAGGGTTTCCTGGTGCTCGGAGGGGCAAGAAAAGCCCTGCGGAGCCCCTGAGATAAGCCCTCAGCCTCGGGTGACGGAGGGATCGGTTCGATTTGGCAGGGTGGAGGCAGAGAGGGTGCCCAGAGAGCTGCCCTCGGAGATGGGAGAGAGGCAGGGACTTTCTACCGCACCTCTGGGATGAGCTGGAAGAGCGCGTTAGAGAGCAGCGTGCCGATGGAGAGCGCGATGAAAAACGTGAGGACCCGGCTGAAAAAGGCCTTCTCGGTACACGGTACGATGAAGACTCCGAGCAGGGAGGCCACGTTAATCATCGACACACTGAGAAAACCAAAGCCCCACACTGCGGAACGAGAAGAAACGAGGGCCAGACATTACCGAGGCTCTCGGCGCGGGGGAGACGGGGAGGACCCCGAGATCCCAGATCCGGGCAGGAGGAAAAGGCTCGTGCCGGGGCCGGCCTTGCCGCACCGGAGCATCTCTCCTTTTGCTCCGGACGCTTCAACTGCGACACAAACCATCATTTTTGTTGCAGGGCAGGTGGAAATGAAGCCACCAGGTTACTTGGAAGAGGCTTTCCCGAGCCAGCCCCGGCCTCCCGGCGTGGGAGAAGCCAGCGCTGTGCTCAGGGCAGCTGATCCAAGACCTCGGGCATTGTCAGGACCCTGGATGCATGGAAGCTCCTTTAGCATCCGCTGGTGGCTGGAGGCCAGCGGGTCCCTAAACGTGCCAAGCCACCCCCTCCCACCAACGGGGACTTGCAGCGAGGTCCCCATCATCCGGCTATCCCGGAGAGCCGTGCTGCAGGCACAGCTCTCACCTGCGGCGTGTGCGACTGGGGGCAAAACCACGCTGCGAGCCCACAGCACAAACCACACCGAGGAAAATGTCAGGACTCCCAGCTGCTGTAGGCAAGCTGCCTCCTCTTGTCTCTGCCAGACTCTGCCTGTGTCCCAGAGCTGGGAATGGGAACTGGCTGTCCCGCAGGTCCCAGTGTGCCTCAAATCCCCGAGCTCCGTGCCCAGGGCCGGGCAGCACTTCTGCCCCCTGGTTCCCCGCTCACCTTCGGCCGAGCTGGGTCTGCTCTCCT